TTTCAACCTGTCAGAGATTAAAACTAGACCCATATCTATCAACCATGCACTAAACTAAGATTGAAGTAGATTAAAGACCTAAATATTAAAACAGAAACACTAATATTTATCAAATAAGTAAAATCTCTAGTAAATCTAAGTCAAAAATAAGGCACAAACATGGTACTGGCACAAAAACAAATGTGACCAATGGAATAAAAGAAACAGAAACAAGCACCTACAACCATCTGATTTTGACAAAGGAGCCTAAAACATATGTTGGAGAAAAGATAAACTTTTTAATAAATGGTGCCAAGAAAACTGGATATCCACCTGCAGATTTAAACTAGATTCCTATGTCTCATCCTGTACTCAAATCAAAATGGATCAAAGACCTAGATATAAAAACAATGAAACTGCTGGAAGACAACATAGGGGAAGCACTTAAGTCACAAGCAAAGGCAAAGACTTCCTGAATAGGATTCCAAAAGCACAGGAAATAATGTCAAGAATCAACAATCAGGGCTACATCAAATTAAAAATCTGCACAGCAAAGCAAACCACAGAATGGAGAGACAATCCATGGAATGGCAGAAAATCTTTGCTAGCTATGCTTCTCATAAAGCATTAATATCTAGAATATATAAAGAAATCAAAAAATTAGCCTCCCTTAAAACAAAGAACCAATAAAAAACTGGGTAAATGAACTGAATAGAGACTCCTGCATAGTACAAATGGATAAAAAGAACATGAAAAATGTTCAACATCTGTAGCCATCAGAGAAGTGCAAATCAAAACTACCTTCATGTTCCATCTTGCCTTAGTTAGAATGGCTCTCATCAAGAATACAAAAATAGGGCCGGGGATTTAGCCCAGTGATTCTGCCGCCTGCCTCACAAGTGCAAGGTCCCAAGTTCGATCCCCGGTATCAAAAAAAAAAAAAAGAATACAAAAACGATGACTGTTAGCTAGCAAGACACTGGGAAAAAGGAAGCTCCCTACATTGTTGGTGGGGAGGTAAACTAGTACAACCACTGTAAATCCGTATGGAGGTTGCTCAAAAAACCCCCTCAATTTAGAAATATCATTTCATCCACCTATACCACTCCTGGGCATATTCCTGAAAAAATTAAAGACATCATACTATAGTTATACATGTATTCCCATGTTTATAGCAGGGCGAGTCACTGTAGCTAAGCTGTGGAAACTGCCTAGATGCCTGTCAACAAATAAATGGATAAAGAAAATGTAGTATATGGTCACAATGAAATATTACTCAGCCATAAATAATGAAATCATGTCATTTGCAAGAAAATGAACTAGACACTATGATGTTAAGTGAAATTAGCCACTCAGAAAGTTAAATGTTTCATGTTTTCTCTTGTATAGGAAACCCCACAATTTTAAAAATTACTAAAGGCGAGATGATGAAACCAGGAGGTTGATTTGTGGGGATGGGGAAAAGAATGAGGGAAGGAAAGAGGGGATTAATAGGACTGAAAAAGATCATGTTAGATGCATGCTCCAACTCCCCCAAATAACTTCACTGTTCTGTAACACTAACATACACTAATTAAAAAAATATATAACTGCCTGGATTCTAAATTTTTCTCAATAAATCTTAAATAGAACCATTTTATTTTGTTATTCTTACCATGAAGCCTAGGTCAATTCTGTTACTTTTTCTTAAACAATAGTGTTTTCTTAAAAACATCTGGGTCTAGGGCTAGGGATGTAGCTCAGTGGCGCTGCGCCTGCCTGGCAAGTGCAAGGTCCTGAGTTCGATCCCCAGTACCAGAAAAAAAAAACAAAAAAAAACAAACCTGGGTCTGTACTGAACATGTATAGACTTTTTTGGTCATTATTCACTAAACAATATAACAACTACTTACATAGCACTTGCATTTCAGTAGGTATTATATGCAACCCACAGTATTTTATATAAGGGAACTGGGGTCCTAGAACAAAGTCTCTGCCAAAACCGAGGGATAACGATACCCAAAGAAAATGAAATCACCACCTTGCAAAGACATCTGCTTACCTATGTTCACTGCAGCACTATTCACACCAGCCAAGATACAGAAATAACTCAAGTGCTCATCAATGGATGATTAGAGAATTATTGTGTACAATGGATTATTTAGGCCTTAGAAAGGAAGGAAATTCTGCCATTTGTAACAACATGAGTAAACCTCGCAGACATCATGCTAAATGAAATAAGCCAGAAAACAACTGGTCTATTGGTTAATGATCAGTACTCTGTACTGTAAGCCAGATAGAAAAATACTGCACAATCTCACTTACCTATGCAATCTTTAAAAATACATAAAATAGGATATATAGAAACACAGTAATTTGGTGAGGGTACTGGGGAAACAGGAAGATTGAAGTCAAAAAGTTAAAGCAAATTTGGAAATCTGTCTTGTCAATATTTGCATTTTCATTGCTTATGAGGTATATGAGCCTTGAAAATATTTTTACCTCAGATGATGATGTTTTATTTTGTGCTGATACTCAAATCCTTGGTTCTGGTTATTCCTGAAGCCCATGTAGATTCTCTCCTTTCTTTCACTTGGTTCAGTCTCAAAATGCATAAGAATCTTCCAAGGATTCTTTTCTAGCTTAAGTTGTGTAGCAGGCGGCTTTTACCATGTAACTACCTTCCCAACTTCCTGGTTTGAAGCCAGTATATATTTAGCCCCTGATAAGGTGGCTCAGCTGGATGATTCCGGCCAGGCTACCTTGATTGATCCCACCTGGGGGTGCATATGCATCTTCAGTCAGCTGGCTGCTGGATGATCTAGAAAACAGCTTCCTTCCTTGGGCTGTCAGGCTGTTGTCCGGGGTGCTGTGGAGGCGATTGGGTGGTGCGTGCCTGTAGTTTCTTTTTCTCCATAGGCCAGCTCTGCGGCTCCACGTGTAAGCACTTTTCAAGCCTCTGCCAGTTGTTTGTTTGTTTGTTTTTAGGTACTGGGGATTGAACCCAGGATTTTCATATTGAACTACATCCCCAGCTCATTTATTTTTATTTTGCGATAGGGTTTTGCTAAATTTCTGAATTTCTCAGACTGGGCTCAAACTTGTGATTCTCTTGCCTCAACTTCCCAGAGTGCTGGGATTACAAGCGCACACCATGATGCCTGCCTGATTGCCTCCCGTTTTTTAGCATATAATCAATCAGATTCCTCAAGTGGAGAAATAGGCTACACCTTGTAAAGGGAGGAAAAGAATTCTGGTCACATTTGCAATCTACCACAGCTAGTTTAAACTGAGTTTCTGTTATTTAGATCAACTGCTGATAAAAAGTTAGTTTTAAAAAAGTGCTCCTGAAAGGCTCAGTATGGTAGTGTGCTTGTGAAATCTCAGCTAGTCAGAAGACTGAAGCAAAAGAATTGGGAGTTCCAGGCCAGCCAGGACCCTGAGTCAAAACAAAAAGGGCTGGGGATGTAACTCAGTGTAGAGTGCCCTTGGGTTGATCTCGAGTATCGCCAAGAAAAAAAAGTGTTCTTGTTAAATAATGTTTACAAGTGTATCTCATCTGTGCAGCAATAGCTTAGAAGTAAACAGGCAAACTTTATTCATTTATTTACTTTTTTTTGGTACTGGGGATTGAACTCGGGACCTTGTGCTTGCAAGGCAAGCACTGGAACCACTGAATTCAATCCCCGTCCCTAAACAGGCAACCTTTACAAGAAGTATATTTCAAGATTTTAGCTGAGCATGGTGGCACAAGCCTGTACTACCAGTACTTGGGAGGCTGAGGCTACATAGTGAGTTCATGGCCAGCCTGAACCACATACACCCTATTTTAAAAAAAAGAAGAGAAAAATATATTGCACATTTTAAAACCAAAAGTGACTTTAAACCAGTCTCTAACTGGCATTTTAACAGGCTAATCTCATTGTCAAAGATTTCAGATAGGGACAGTGGTGGCAAACCTATGGCACGTGTGCCGCAGTGGGCTACCTGTGTCATTGAACGCTTTGAAAGGTTTGCCATCATTGGGATAGGCTATTTAATAAACTCAGAGATGCACACTGCATGCATTCTTTGTCCTGAAACTAGTGCCTTTGCAAATCTGGTAATAGCGTACTTCAACATGCTTTTCTGCTGGCAGGCAGAGGGACAGTTTATAACTTATTTGTTGTGGGAAAGGAAAACAGCTAACTCATCCTGTTGCAACAGAGAGTAGTTTTGATTACTTTGTCACACTTCATGTGAGTTTTACCAGAAATGCTCTAGGCTTAAACTTAAAATCCCTCCTATAATGGCAGAAGTGGCTCAGCACGTATTTAATCTTCCAGCTCAATAAAACATTCCCATTTCCTCAAGCACTGATGAAGCCATCTGGAGCCCAGAATGACCAGACAAATGGGCAACATTGGTAACTATTGCTTCTCCTGAAGGAACATTAACTAAAGTGTCCTTTTAAAGTAAAGCATCTGGACCTATTTATCACTGTTTAACAATGTGAAGGGGGTTGCATCCTAAGCAGAGGATTGCACTGAGATGCTGAATATGCAACAAAAAGAAATTCAACAGAGGGAATAAACTGCCAACATTTCTCAACATCCTCCCCGAGACGTAGCACTCTCAAGTGTCTTGTATGCTCCCCAAGTCCCCAATCTCTGCTTCCATATTTTAGAATCTTTCTGAATTTTCAGAGAAAGTGAGAACTGGCCACTAGATTACAGTCTACAGAGGCTTATGTAGTTTCATTGACACTAAGCCCCCCCCCCAACACGTATGTACATGCGCACACACACACACACAGATCTGACTGAACTTCTGAAGAAACCTTGGCTTCTCTTCTGAGAAAGACCTACTCATCCAGTTCCTGACTCCTCACAGCTGATGGTTTCTTCCTCAAGGTCACTACTGAATCTTGAAGGCATGGAAGTAGTGGAGTGATGTATCAGATTAATATTAGAGTGGCAAGATTGGGGCAGTTAGTTTTGCTGTATAAAAAAAAAACCCAAACATAGAGGCTTAAAAAACAATCATTTTATTGCTCATGATTCTGAAGGCAAAGCAAATTATTAAAACATTCCTACTTCCTCAAGCCACCACTCAGTATACATGAGGGCCCGTCAAAGGCACAGATACAGAAAGGGGTGAGCAGATTGGATGATCACTGCAGCAATCTAGAGCAGGAGGGTCGAATCATATCACCAGGGAGTTGCTTTAAAACTTGTGAGTGGGAGCCAGGTGTGGTGGCCCACATCTCTAGTCCCAACTACTGGAGAGGCTGAGGCCTGAGGATCGCTGAGCCCAAGAGTTCAAGACCAGCAAATGTAGCAAAATTCCATTTCAAACAAATAAACGAAAAAGCCAATAACCACCTTTCCAAAAAATAAAAATATTGTAGGTGGATATTCTATGGCCCTGGTGATTTTTTTACATTTGTGTACATTCAAGAGATGATGAGGTTTTCAACAAGGTTAATAAGGAGGACAATCAGGGGACATACTAATATATATTCTATTTTATTTCTATTTATGCTTAAGAAAAGCTGAAGATGGTTCATGTTCATTTCTCTATTGGGAAATGGTAGTGTCATATTGTTGCACCCAGTGAAAAAGAACCAACCAGAGACCGATATTAAATCCACACAGGAGTTTATTACAGGCCAGGACCTAGCCGAGCATTGGACTCGAGTCCGGACTGGGGGAGATTAACATATTTTATACACCTTTGAGGCCAGCAGTTTCTAGGCCCCCCTATGGGATAGAACTAGTAAAGCAAGCAAAAGGTACAGAAGCGGAATGTCCTGCCATTAGAACATTTGTAAAACAATAGTTGATTAATTGTTGTTTCTAAAGAGACTTTCTAAGGGGAGGTTTCTAAGCTTCCTCCTTCTGAGTTCATCTAAAGGGCAGGCAGGTGGGTCAAGCAGCAATATGGAGTCTGTCTTGCTAACTAGGGTCCTTCAATATAAACATATTCATCTTGTAGAAATATTAGGTAATTAAGATATAAGATATTGTCCCTTAGAACTCACCATTGTTTACAGTTCCACATCTGGAGAAGTACCCAGTACCCATTTTTTGTAGTGTTGGAGATCAATCTCAGGGCCTCACACATTCTAGACAAGTACTTTACCACTAAGCTACACTTCCAGCCCTATATTTATTTTTGTTTACAAATCAGTTCCATATTTACACAAAGGAGAACACAATGCATGATTATTTTAAGTATAAAGGAAACAAAATTCTTGTTCTCTTTTTGTCCATATTCCGTTTTATCCCTTCAAAATCCTCTAGCTTGATTATTCATTCTAAAAATACTTATTTGGCTCATTATTACAAGGAACAATGCTAAATGCTATGTAAAATGGGGCTTCCCATTTGCTAGTCCTTCCCCATCAAGGATTTTCCATTAATTCCCTATTCATTCAGCAAATACCTATTGAGGAGCTTTTGAATGCCAAATACAATTGCAACTCTACATAATAAATTGATTCATTCAGTTGAGAATTATGTACTGAATATGAGTTATGTGCCAGGCACTATGCTTGCCATTAGAGCTCTGAGGGTGAGCAAAATTCAGCATTCTTTGTTTTCTAGAGTTTAAAATGTAGTTGGAAATACAGACATTAATCTTGTAGTCACACGAATGAGTATATTCAATCAAAAATGAGTTAAGAGATAAGTACCATAAAGGAAAATAATATACTTTGGACTGGGGGGGGGTTCAGAAAAGGCATCCTTGAGAAATTAATGGCTGAGATGGGATGAGGGGGTTGGAAGGAGTCAGTGGGGGGGCAAGAAGAGCAGACTCAGGCAAAAGCAACAGTATGTAAAAAGGCCCTGTGGTAGGAGGAGGCCCTGCCCATCAACAGAACTGAAGGGCTGGAATCCAGCACACACTGGGAAGGCCTGTACATACATAGGGTTTCACCCTATGATAAATGAATGATGGGAAGATTTTCAGGGGAGAGCACTGTTACTTACTGTAAACCTGATTGGTCTGAATGTTATATGAACAGATCAGAGTGAGGCTGTGGTGTATGCAGGAAGACAAGTTAAGAGCAAACCCCATTTAGCCCAGTGCAGGCCTGTAATCCCAGCTAATAGGCTGAGGCAGGGGGAGCACAAGTTTGAGGCCAACCTGGGTAATTTAGATTTTCAAAAATGAAAATGAATGAAGATGTAGCTCAGTAGTAGAGAACCCGTACATTCCATCCCTACCGAAAAATGAAAAAGAATCCCCATTCAGTAGTCCAGGTCAGAGCCTGGATGAGGAGGTTGTCAGTGGAAATCCAGATAGATTTCAGATTTATAGGAGATAGAAACAGCAGACTTTGGTGATGGTGTGTGCAACTGAGGAGAGAGAGGTGTTAAAGTTGACTCCTAGATGATGCAAAGTTACAGTATTACCTTGTTAAGGTTTCTACCAACTTCTTAGAGATAGAAATAAGCCACACTTTTTTGGGGATAAGAAAAGGTATTTACATGAGATTGTCTACATGCTATTTTGCACATGGTGTGTCATTTAGCTGTTACAGTGTGACAGTACCCCAAATATAACAACAGCCATTTTTTCACTCAGTTTTGAGGCTTGGTAATTTGGGGGTGTGCTCAGATGGGTGATTCTGTTGCTGGGTCACCCTTAGCTGTCAAGTCACCTGAGAGATCTTAGCCCCAGTGACTTTTAGACAATTTTGGGTGGCCTTTCTGTCTCCCAGTAGGCTACCTGGCTTTTCTACCTGATGTTTGCAGAACTCCCAAGAATAGCAAGGGAAAGCCTGCCCCAAGGTGGTGTCTCTTTTGCAGCTGCGGGTCATGCAATATTTCATTTACCTTTATCTTGTTGGACAAAACAAGCCACATAGTGAAAACCAGGGTCATTGTAAAAGAGGATGACTTAAGA